CATTAATTCTCATTAATTGTAACAATAGTGCTTAGGGATCACTTAGAGAATCAAGAACTTGATAGAGTTTTACTCGGGAGTACTTCTAGAGCAATATTGCTTAGGAACTACTTGGGAAAGCAAGAACTTGAGAGTTTTATTCAGGGTATTATTTCGAGTTTCATTCAGTTTTATTCGGGGGTGTTTCTAAAGCAGAACTGCTCATTTCACGAGCAGCAGGCTTGCTTATTAACCGATTGAATATTCTTTTGCCCATTTGTCGTTCTGCTTCTGTCAAAAATACATGAAATTGAATTTCTATTATAGGTGGCTTCTCAGCCAATTAGGTGGTTCCTTTAGAGGCATCTTTAGAGGCACTTTTATTAGTAAAAGTGAGTTGAGAATATGGACGATAAACTCGTTATCGCGTCTTTTCCGCTGGCCATCTCGGCGCGTGAGCCGTCGCTTCCGTTTCTCGTATTTACTCATTTCGACGGTTTGAGAGTCAAGGGGAAGCACCGCGATAACGTGTAGTGCATAACGTTATGAAATAATAACGTAACATTAATATTACGTGAAACAGTACATAATACGGTAATATTAATATCATAATGTAGGAGCGTGAGATAAGCGAGTACACGACGTAACGGCTCTCTCAGGCGTGCCTCGCTGGCTGAAGGGCACGTGACTTTAGTCATAATAACACAGATAGTGCCGTGACTACCGAGCAATCATAACAAACCTTGACGTGGAAGCGGGCAGATCGCGTGTGATCCCCCACTTGTTCTGATAAATCGGAGCGTGCGTGAGGTTCGTAAAATTAGATTTGTTCCTTTTCACTGAATTAGTGTACATTTATAAAACATAAAAAGAGATAGATGCATAGTTAAAGAATCGTCTATAATAGCTATAAAGCATGAAGTAAGACATAAGTGCACTCAGTTCATCGAAAAAGGACAGACCTATTATTTCGCGCGAGTGTTATTTTCGTGATCGTCAAGTGTTGCTTCGAGCAGCGATGTCATGCCGAAATCTTAATGGTAATTAAGCGCGTTTATTCTCTTCGGTTTTAGAGAGGCACAGAGAGCAGCCTCCGTATTCTCTCGATCTACATCTATCTGTTACATCAACTGATCGGAAACTCGCTTTTTGCTCCAGATTTGGCAGAGCTCGCGGCCATAGGATGGGTGCGGTTCCCGGGGACGCGGGTGCCGTACCGGAGGTTCCGATTCGAGTCGAGCAAGGTCGGCTCGAAGGTAGGTTTATCAGGACAGCTCTCGCGTTTAACTTTTCGCGATCGGAAAATTGGGACATAGTTGTTGAGATAAGATTCGTTGAATCATAATCGCAAATAGTTAATTCAAATAAAATGTTAAATCTACTTGAAATTTGCGTCTAACAAGATTCTCTCGATCGCGAGTATTATCCCGAACCTCTCAATATGTTTCTTCACTTGTTTTTGTTCACTTTCCGTTATATTCTGAGATTCTCCTTTAAGTTTGAATGAATTTAAATAATAGAACTAAAATTTCAACTCGAAAAGCGTCGTGGTATCCGCTTCGCGATTTTTTCCATGCGATTCGCGACTCTTGAATAATATCGAAGTGCTGGATTTCTGGTATTGGATTGGCTGAGGAGGCTGCACGAACGCGGAGCGCGACGCGGTCGGGAAACATAACGTTGAATTTCACCGGTGAATCTAAACATCGAACGTCGTTGGATGTCGATGCGCAATGGTGAGCGACCAATTCGAACGTTTGCAAAACGTCATTTTCGGTGGCGCATGTATAGAAACGTAAACGCATTGATTCCCGACAGCACAAAGTAAGGGTGACGATTACAAAGCTATTTGAGATCACGAAGACATTCGAATAATTTAATGTCCGTGTCCGAAGCGCCGTATCTCAACGGCATATTTTCACGGTGGATCGGTTAAACTTAGACGCGAGTCTAATTCGCGTGCGACAGCGGAAATTTATTATCGATAATGTTTTACGAAAATCCATTAAGGCAAAAGTGCCAATGTCTACACGTACCTATCTCTGGAACGACGTTTATGTTATTTTGGTCTTTAAATACGAATACTTAAACTTTCAACGTAGAACGTACAATAAACATATTGAACACGTACAAATATTTTACGTTTGAGGATTAAACATTCGTACTTAAAGAACAAAATGACGAAATATCCACAATTAGAATGCCGTGTCCAGGCATTGGTATTTTTACCTTACGGTGAAATCCTTTCCGCGTGTTTTAATCATATATTTAGAAAAAAGAAGTGTTTAGTCTTCGTTTGAATATTCCGAAAATAATACGATACGAGTATCAGTATTTGGAAAAGATTTCAGACACGACTAGCGAATTCTGCGGAGGCAATCAATAAGTGACGAAGGTCGCAAATTAAAATTTACGTGTCACCGTATCTCGGGTATCGAACGGACCGATCTTAGAAGCTTTTTTACTGTGCTACTAAAGTTACCTCCTGCGAGAATAAAGTACTCTCGTTCAATGATCCCACCTATCGGGATAACTATTCGCCGCTGTGAGCGCGAAATGGCATCTTATTGTACTCTCGTAGAACGAAGAGAGTACAGACGGTGTGTGTATCCGGCGACTCGCATGTGCGAATTTATACACGTACGCGCGCGAAAGGGTCGGAGCAGCGTGGCTGCTTGATATGCGGCGCGACGCCCGGCTTTTGACTGACGCCTCCGAGTTGCGAATAAAATTTTCATGAATTTCTATTAACTCCGTTTTTCTAGACGTGCCCCGGAGACTTAAAAAAGCTCTGTCAGCTGATAGCCGGCAGAGAAGGGGAGAGAAGCGCTTTCTCTCATTTTCTCCAGCGCGACGATGATCGAACTCTCGATGGGGTTGAATGATCTTCAGCTCTCGCGCGGATAACTCGTGCTCTCAAATTAATTCGATTCGTAAAATTGCCGATCAAATGGGATCACCTCGTTGCACATTTTTTTTCCAGTTCGCACGAGATATTTCGTTCGGCGGGAAAAATATTTTGCACGATAATTTGATTTTTAATCGAGTCGACTACTAGTTGAAGTACCGGGGGAAGGGGGGCGCATTTTCGGACAAAAATGTCGTCGATGCTTCACACGAATAGAACAGAAGCGCGAAAATTTTCGTTTTTCGAGTTCAGACATCATAAAGTTTCATTGGCTCCGTATTTAGCCGCGAACTGCGGAAATGAAGTGTGTATTCTTGCTGTGAAAAACACATTATGCTCGTTAAAGTATAAAACGCGGAAGAGACGCGCGTTCGATGTGCGGTGTCCTTTTTAATCTGATCTGACGTTTATGAATGAGGCGTCTATTTTTAATGTTCATCGCTAATGTTCGCCGTTATTTCTGGGATTCTCAGCGCTTTACCGTGTTAATACAATATACGGCGATATTATCAGCAACTACTTTGCGAATTTAACTCGCAATGTTAAATTCCTTTATTAGAAGGTTTTTTATGAAAAGCTAAATAATAACTGATCTGAGCTGTCGTAGAAAAAAAAGAAGGAAAAGGTAAGGTTATAACACATCGGTGCACGGGAGGGGAGCCGAAACCGCAATCGAGATTTCCCGATCTTCGGCCCCGAGATTCCTGACTCGCTGAAGCCGGGAATTGCGAGCTTCCGGAAAGTTTGCGCGGTCGCCTCGCAACCAAGTGGAACCCACCAAAATTCGGAACCCCGCAGGGCGAGGGCTTAGCCGCTGCTCCAAGTTTCACTTTAATCCCAAAAAGCCACAGTAGGCCGACACAATTGATTCTGCCTGAGTTCCGGCATATTGTGTGTCTGGGTATGCGTTCCGAGGCGACCCGCGAGGTCACCGCGACAATTTATGCTACCTTGTAACCCCCTAACGTTCGTATCACTCAATTACGAGTGACGTTCGAGTCAGCGAACTTTCGCACGTCAAACGCCCGTGTGTTACACGTTCTCTTGCGAAACCTTTGTAAAGGTTAAAATGAAAAATTACCGCGCGTCTCTTCGCAATCTCACGACGTCTCATTGTCGCCCCGAGTAGAAAAATGCCAGTGAAAAACTGGCCACCAGGCGAAGATGGACAGTGTTTTACTGGCTTGAATTAACTGGACGGTAACTGTTCAGAAACTGATCCAAAAAGTATTGACTATTATTTCTCGGTCAGTTACTCGCCGCCATAAACTGTTCCAAGAAAATAGTAAGTTAATACCGGACAGTTTCAGTTTCCAGCGAAAACTCTTGAAATTCTGGCTAGCGTTTCTCGGCCATTTCCTGGCCAGAAACTCAGTAAAGTAACAAACAAATAAAATAGCAAATGAAATGCCCAACGCGCGTTTTTTCAATTATCGTGTTCAAATAGAAGATCACCAGCCTCCTTATCTTGTAATTTGTAACGACAGTTTCGTCATTCATTGGCGCTCCGTTCCGCAGCTATTTTGCGATACATTTTGTTTACGCAAAAATTTAACGTGCGTTATGCCTGCAACGCACACGTTAAAAGTTACTGAATGAGGACGCTGCGCTCTTAAAAATCGTGTAATATTTAAGTCAACATCGTGCGATGTGTCGTCGTGACGTGACGATACGACAGATGACGTTTACGTAAGTAAATCAATCTCCGTGAGCGTGTGCGTCATAAAAAGTGAAATCCTCCGCGGCTTTCTAGGAAAAAAAAAGAAATAATTAATTCCGCCGCCTCTCCGGTTCGCAAGAAAGTTGAATCACGCGATGTTTTTTTCCGAGCGATTCAAGAGAGAAGCGCCCAGAGGACGACACGTAACGTTGTCGGCCGGGGCCAACATCACCGCCGCTGGATTACCGCTCCATTTTAATACGTATAACGTCTGCATGTATAAATTCGCGTAATTCCGGCACGACGGTAAACGCGCGGTCACGCGATAAGCTCTGCCGCATGCTGGATTAATCATTTCGTGCCGAGACGGGTGGGCAGCGGGGAAAGGGGGGGGNNNNGGGGGGGGGGGCACATGGGGGAGAGAGGGGGTTGTATAATTCCGACCACACCTACCTGAACGCGACTTTCCGTGAGGCCGATCCTTAGAGCGATTTCTTCTCTCAGGAAGATGTCCGGATAGTGGGTTTTGCCGAAACACCTTTCCAGCTCGTTGAGCTGGGCCGGTGTGAAGCGCGTCCGATGTCTCTTCTGCTTCGCGGGTTTGTCATCGCCTTGCCCGATCCCCGACGCACTTCCTGCAACGCACAACACGATCGTCGGATAATGCATAAATAAAAGAACATCGTGATTAGAAAAGATTTTCGCGTTTCTCCCCGGCATGCGTTATCCATAACCGCGATTCTAACGAGTCGCTGGTCGGAAAAACACGATTACCATGTTATTATTATTATTATTGCGAGAAGAAAATATTTCCCTTGCGTTTAAAGAAGCGGAACACTTTACGAAAATAGCCAACGTGCAAAGTTCAGTTATTACAGTTGCAATTAACGCACTTCGAAGAAATTAGTCCACAGACGGCACGCGGTCAATTTGGGGAAGCTAAAGTACCATTGGGAAAAACGCGATGGATTTTCCAACTTACGTTACTAATGCACCGAAACGCGTCCCTCGGAACGATCTCGTAGAGGCGCGGCGCCCGACTCTGTTGACATTTTCAGGAAAATGGTTCCTGGCTTTCTAACTCGCGATGCAAATATCGCGCAATCCATTCTGAGAATATCTCGCCGCGCTTATTACGGCCGCTTACATAGGATTCATAGAAGATCGATGCGACTTATTTTCTCGTTCACTATCGTTCACCCCCTCCTCCTCCCCCCGGGTTCGTTTAATAAATAAATATAATCCCGCATATGTATGCACATATAAACTCGCGCGCGCTTATTCGCTTCATTTCGAATCACTTGCAAGCAATTTCGCAGCGTTATCACGACGTCGTAACGCAAATAGGAAAAGCGAGTGAAACAAAACGATTGAATTTCCGAGCTCCTTTGTCATCCGACCTCGTCTTTGTTCGTTGTAACTTCGTAACCTTGCGACGCGCACTTTTCCGTCGCGGGAAACGTTTCGAGAGTAAACGCGGCGAACGCCGGACAGGCTCGTTCGACGAAAGCCGATGGATCGAGAGTTAAAGTTTTGCGGTTCGCGTGGCTGCCAGCCGTCTCCTTTCCCTCCCTCTCTCTCTCTCTCTCTCTATTTTTAGCACGTGCGATTGATTCGTCGACTAGCCGAAGCCGGACGTTTCTCAAACGCGAGCTTACCTGCGCCGGGCATAGTCATGATCAATTCCTGATGAAGTGTGAGGCCAGCACCCGCGGACAGACTGGAGCCCAAGTTCACTCCCAGCACGCCGTGCTCCTTCTCGTATCGCTTCAGATCCGGCGCATCCTTCGCTCCTGCGAGCGCGCCGGGCAGCAAGGAGCATGAGAGAAGCGGGAAAAAAGAAAGAATATACGAGCCGCTTCAGTTTTCTTCCGATTCGTTTTTTTCCTCGCCCCCCCTCCCCCTTCTCACCCCCCTCTCTCTCTCCTCGCTTTTTTTTCTCGCTGGGCTTCCTCGTGCTCCACGCACGTCTCCCGCCCGCCCCACGCGGCCGCTCTACGTAGTTTAAATTTGTATAGGAGCAGAAGCTGGCCGAGGGGCGTACGGACCACTTAGCGAGGAGGTGCGAGAATCGTCACCGTACTCCGGCTTCTAGGCGAGCAAATACATGTCTCGATCCTCCACACACAGGCTCGCATGAGCACACACGCGTATGCGCGCGCGTGTGTGTGCACGTGTGTGCACGTAGCCGCGTGCGCACATGTGTGATTCCGCGTGTGTGTCGTATGTGAGTGATGAACTTGCGTCTCTGTATGTACGTGTGCGTCGCAAAGGGTGTCCGTGTCAGGCCATGTCAGACCGACATCCACACTTCTCGGACGGTGTGCCTCGGATCGCGGCGTCGGTATCGCGCGTCGTTGTGCATTGTCGAAGATGCTTACGTAATGAGGTAAACTAGTTTAGTCAGGTAGGCCCGTTCACGACGTAGAACGATGCGTCCGTGTCGTGAGCGAGCGAGAACAAGTGCGTCCATAAAAAATTTCCGCCCGCCTACGCGACGAGGATCTCTATTTCTCTCTCTCTCTCTCTCTCTCTCTCTATCCGCGCGAGATACGAGGTGATCTGAAAAGTTCGGAACGACAAGGCGGCTTATCTGAAACTCGTCGTTCGTTTAGTCGCGCGCATTTGCAAGCATGGGGAATTTCATGCAAAATTGAGCGTATTTGACGCGAAAGCTCGGCCCGCCGGTCGCGAAGATATTTTCAATTTCTACGACTGCAAATTTTTCGTCGAAATCCCGCCCTTTGGAGAGAAACGAGCGATTAGCATTTCCCATCAAATTAGACCGAACGTACGAAAACAACTACCGAGAAGTCTCTCTTCGAGATTCACTCGAGCACTCGTTACTCGACAATTTTACTTAATCGTATAAACTGTTAATGCAATAACAAACGAGCAGAACAGGTTAAATATCGCATACGATACTCGTTTGCCAATATGCAACATAATTAACGAAGTTCAAATTTTTATTTATTTTATTCGGACCGTAATTACGAAACTATAAAAGTCCCAGGAATCGATACCGATATTGTCGGACCACCGTGTAGCGAGGCCTCACTGAATGAATACCCGGTATGAATGAACTTTACGACGGGTCTTTATTCCGTGTTTTAGTTTTATAGGCCTTGATGATTTTATTTCGATTTTACTGGCGCGTAGCAGTGCCGCGGTATTCTCCGCCGGAGGGTTTTCCCCTTTACTCCGCTAGAATTCGGTGGATTCTTTTGATGTCTTCATCGTGAGGATCCCGCCGGTGTATACATCGTCGTGTATACACCGTCGATGGTAAACGTCGCTTCATCGTTCACACTGAACGTTATGCGGCCCACGCGATTCGCCTTGCGTCCACTAATGGAAAAAGAACAGTCTGTTCGCCCGACGTTTACCCCCGGCGCGTAATTGTAGCCGCATTACTTCGAGATACCTTCCTTCTTCTTGTTAATGACTGAGAATGATTATTTAATCCCGCATTAATTGACCGGATTATCGAAAGTCATAATCAAATTAAGACGGTAATCACTAAAGGATCGCGACGCAGCTAATTGTCCGTTTCGCGCGCGTGTATTTTTTCCGCCTTCTCTCCCCCCCCCCCC